TGGTCCTGCTCAGATGAATGCCAGCCCCTTTTTGAATTTTTCAATTCTTCTACTTTTTAAATCATTGTTTATTATTAGATACATTTTATGTTGAGAACTTGTCATGCTTTAGACTTTTCCAAATTGGGACTTCCAATCCAGGTTGTGCTGAATCATCCACGTATGATATGCCCTTTTCCTGTTTGGGGTTTTTATTGGTACAATAAGGGACTTACCTGTGTCCCTTTGTTAGATGTTCTGTCCAATAGGGATTTAGGACATAGATGACTACATGAATTTATGGATTGGCATGGAGTTAATCTTGGATTCTAGGCACTGTTTCACTTTAATTATTGATATTGTCTATTATTGTTTTTTACGCAACTATATGCACGTGCACTTTAAAGTTTGGATAGATGTATAATCGATTATGAGTTTGACACATGATTAAGGATACATCCCTATGGATGTCCAAATATGAATATTACCACAATCATATACACATATTGCTAATGACATGATTGTCTATTTTTATAACACCTTGTTTAAGGTTTTTTCACAGTATGCTAATTACTAGCTCAGTATGTCATTGGTGGGTTAGTTATAATTTTTATAGAACATGGGATTGTTGTTTGGATCTTAACATTGGTGTTGTCACTATTGTATTCACATAGAGGTGGATAGTACCATTAACCGTTGGTTTTTATGATAGGATTTAGGGGTTTGTTTTGTATATGTGGCCTTTTCTTCCCCTCTCTCTAGATTCTAGTATATACACAGGTTACAGCTTTAATCCCTTCCTTGGTGGAGGATAGATGTAGAGACCGGAATATCCAAGCTAGATACGCATGCGTCCGGTATCACTATGACTACGGACGACGCAGCCATTCAGGAAGTAACTGAGGAGATCGTTGTTAGACGCAATGGCGTCCCGATCTCCATGGCAACGTAATGAACGTGGTGATGTCACGTATATCACGTGACGGCGTGAGCAGGAAGTGGGGAAATGCCGGGAATTGATAGCGTTTGAGCGGACGCTCGAGAGGAGGGGAGGTTCTCCATCAGCACACCTGGATTGTGAGTTTTAATTGGATTTATGTCCCTATTTAAGCTGTGTTGTTTTTCATTTATGCTTTGTATGCTGTCCTGATGAAAGCTCCCAAGAGGAGCTGAAACGTTGACCTGTGGAGTAAAGTATTTTTTTGGCTTATTTACAAATCCTGGGAGTGCTGATTTTTCTTTTGCTTGGTATATATATATATATATATATATATAAAATATAATATAATATAATATATATCATTATCCATAAATAGTTACATATTTTAAGTCATTATTACAATATTAACATAATTTATTTACATAATTTGATCAGATGGGTATCAAAACTTCAACTATAGTATGTGCACTCCAAATACATAAATGAAATGGGAGGAAGTAGATAAAATGTTTAAAAATATATATATATACCTTTTAATAATGAAAATCAGCTTAATAAGAACAGCTCAATAAATAGATTCCCACAATCAATGTAGATCTATTCAGGAATAATATATCTCTAAAAATCTGATATAAATCACAGTATGCAATGAATAAAAATTTTTTAAGCAATTCATCAAATGGGCATTATAGTGTTGAATTATATTTACTTCAGACACTTTTTTTTCCATTTCTTCCATTTTTTTATTAAAATAATATTATTTTCGGAATATCTATAGTAAATCAATTCCTGTTGTTTACTATCTAGAATGGAATATAAAGCCTCCTTAACTTCTGACAAGTCACTAGTTTTTCAATATCTGGTTATGGTGGTAGTTGCGGCAATTAGAATATGACCTAGCATTATTTTTGGGTAATTTGATAGGTGAGTTGGACATTTTTTAAAGACACAAATTTCAGGGGTCAGTTGGGGAATTGAATCAGTAATTGTATATCTTCATTTTGAATTGACTTCCAATATGAGTCCACTTTGGGAAATGTCCACTGTACATGACACAATGAGCCCACTTGTCCACACCCCCTCCAATATTTGTCTGAATTAGATCATTTAAATGTATGTAGTCTAGGGGGGGTGAGATACCAATGATGAATGACTTTGCAGTGGGACTCTAAATGTGCCACACACTGTGTAATGCCGCTCAGTGCCGCCGCACATTCAAACCATTCTGTAATATCCAATTCTTTTTTTTTTTTTTTATCTTTTTCCCAAGCAATCATGGAATTAAAATGTTGTCTGTTTTCTAATAAATATTAATAACAAATTGAAATGGTTCTTTCATAGCTGGGATCTGAAATTTATATTTTTTTCTAAATTTGATAATTCTGGTGTACAGTGAGATAAATTGTTTTCTGAAAGGGCACAGTTCATCTTGAGCCACAAATTATTTTTTTTATGTGTGGGGCTGTCAGTGTCAGTTAAATTAAATGTGTCTTTTAGTTTTGTAAATATAATGTTTGTTGGATATAAAAAAAACACGTTATCCAGACAATAGAATGTGAAGTCCAATAGTCAATGCTTTATTCAGGGATGCCTTTTTAAAGATGGAAATAGGAGCTGCTTTTGACCAGATTTTATTGGGGTTTATTTTTTTGAATAAGATGTCCCATGATTTTATTGTGAGTTATTGGTTTATTTGCAGATTACATTATGCTATCTTTGAAAAACCCAATGTCCTCAATTAAACCACTAATGTCCATCTTGGCGAAATTCCTTATTACAAATTAAACACTAACAAAACTCAAGCTCTTCTATTTTTTATGCCCTAGCTTGAATTGGACATTTTAAAGAAATAATTTGGCTTTGATTGGAAAGATCCCTATATTACATATTTGGGCATTAATCTGTGCAAGAATCTGTCTAGAATGAATGCAAATAATTTGGGTAATGTCTGGTTCACGTTTAGGGATGACTCGGAAAGATGGTGTAGTTTAGAAATCTCATGGTTAGGAAGAATACATTCGGTGAATATGAATATACTTTATTAGAGTCATCCCTCTCAACAAAAATGTATACTTTATTAGAGTCATCCCTCTAACCAAAAATGTATACCTTATTAAAGTCATCCCTCTCACCATTCTTTAGAAAAATTCCCTCTGCTCTTTTGACTTTCATCTGCAATAGGAAACCGGCAAGAATCAATTTATTCATATTGCAAAAACCTAGAATTAGAGGAGGTTTGGGTTTACCAGATTATTTTTTTGGGGGAGGGGGCAGAAATGTAAACAAAATTGCATAAGAGGGGTAGAGCAATAGTGTGTAAGTGTGTGTGTGTGTGTGTGTGTGTGTGTGTGTGTGTGTGTGCAAAAGCATGTGTTTATTTTCTCAAGATAAAATCTGAGAAAATTTGGATTTTGGATCCACCTCTGGTTACCCAAAGTTTGTATGTGATTCGCTGTTTAGTGTTTTTCAGAAACTGGAGATGGCCACGAGATTTACCTTCGACTCGTTGCCCCTTGGATGGACAATGATACACAAGATATGAATCTCCAATTGTATTTTAACCAGAATAATCTACTAAACAGATTAAGAAAAGTATTTTACTAGTCATACAGCTCCCTAAAATTGTAACAGAATGTTATTTTTAAAATGAAACACAACAATTTAGTTTAGTTTTGTCAATCCCTAGAACTCCCAGCATGAATAATAACTTCAACTGTTAGCCATTTTCCCTGTTTCCATATACCTATTCAAACATCATCCTTCATTTTAGTATTATTTGCTTATTATTACCATTATGGTATATAAAATATACTGTGTATCGGTTGCTTAGCAAGCTCTGTCCCAATGATATTTATTTAAGGAAACCCCCAAAAATTAGCAATTCTAAAAATTAGTCATGCCTTAAAACCTGCTGATCCTGCAGTGAAATGCCGGTCTCCTTGAACCATAACTTATCCTCTTAGGGGAATTAGAAATGTCTTCAAGGCTGCTGATCTAGCAGTGATGTGTTAGTGATCTTGAACTGTAATATTGCATGTTAAGACATTTGCTTCACAGCCACAACATTTTATTAACCTCCTAAAATGTATACCACTATACATTTGTTGCTGCGTATCTGACCAAAATTCTATTATATTTAAAATGTTTAAGGGACACTCGAGGCACCATAACAACTTCCCTGACTGATCGCTATGCCCACTTAATGTCGCTCTACCCACTCAGGGTCCGAGGCTCCAGTCAGGAAGCCTCAGACCAGACACAGCTGATAGGCTGAGGGCGATAAAGTTGTTATGGTGCCTGGATCAGCAGGTTTTAAGTCATGACTAATTTTAAGTTGGTCAGTATTTGTTCTAATACTGTATTTAATGAACTCTGCTTTACACACTGAGATATTCAATTTAACTACCAAATTATAGATATTTTCAAATAATGGCTGTCTGTAACTGTCAATTTGGAAAACTCTTGCAAGACTCCTACTACAATATCAGATTATCTACACACATTGCCAGCTGCTGATCAGTAACTTAAAAAACTGAAGTGAATTTAATCTTTAATCTAAACAAAGTTATTCAGGAAAATAATTGTCAGAAAAGTGAATCTTAATTTTTTTAATTTTATTTTTTACATATTTTTATTTAGTGTAAAGCTCTGAACACACCAACAGTAACATTCTGCTATTGAAACTTGTAAAATGTTTCACAATTATGTCCTTGTAAGGAAACCTAGTATCCAATCCTCATTCGGTAGTTTCCTATTCGTATGAAATAGACGAAATCCATACGAATACAATAGCTTTACAAGATGATTCCCTTAATAAAGCATATGAATCCCCAAACATCAGCCGAAGTCAAGAAGAAGGGTACAACAGAACTGGCTTTTAATCAACACACACAGGCTTTTATGCAAGTCCCCATGCAAGGGGACATCCCACAGGGAGGGACACAGTACAACCAATCAGTTACAGTAAAACCGTAAAACACACCCAGCACAAACATACAATTCCCTCCCGTAGTCCTGGAGATAAGAAAGTCCGATAAAGTAATAACTTGATTATCTCCCGGCAGAAAAATCATAATTTTCCCCAATATTCAGAACACCCCTTTAGGCATGGGGTATCCCCACAAACAAGATGTCCCCTGATAGCCCTGATCTGGGTGACCAACATATTCAAATTTCACCCAGATCGGTTCAGGGGTTCTCAAAAAGTATGGAAGTCTTTTGTGACCGGCTAACCGCGAGGTGGCTGCCCAAAATAGTTCCAGGAGTTTGGGTGGTTTTGCTGGTCTATTCGGTTAAGTGGCAAAAACGGAATAATTTCACGAATGGATTCCCCTGGCTCTTAGCAGCGATTGTTCCCCTCATTCGAATGCACAAAAGTACCGAATAGCGCTCTTCTAGCTATTCGGGAAATATTCGTTTGTTGAGACCGGTGTTCGGGAAGTCGAGTGTCCGATTTTAGTTCCAGACACTTGACGACCAAGTCCCGCTGCCTTTGTTCGCCTGAAGAAACATGGCCGCCGTTTTCTCCGCCACGTGGTGTTCGGTAAATCTGCTGATGTATAAAGATCTTGAGTGCCTGGACTACTTTGCTGTTACTATATGGATTAGGGGTTTGCCAGCCCTAGGTACAGTGCACCGAGGTCTACAAGTGATGAGAGTGCGAATCCCTTCCTTTTTTTGCTATCAGTCACATGCACATACGAACGCTGGCCGCACAGATATAGGGTTCAATTGAAGCAGTCTTTGAAGTTTAACAAGCCAGGGGGTGGTCCTTGTTCGGTAGTTATATCTACCGAATGAATAGGGAAGAAATATTACACCTAAAAGAGGGATTTCTTCACAGTCCTCTTAAGGGGATGTCCTTGAACTATTTTTTTATTTTTGTAGTGCATAGCAGACAAATAAAAATATTGAGACATCACACATGTATAAATGCCGAGACTTCCCCGTGGCAACCCTGCCCCCGCCCCTCCAAAATGTAAAAAAATAACAGCAAAATGTAAATTTAAATGTCTTGCATAGATTTGTAAACTTTGTAAATTCCCTATCTGCCCCTTCTACAAAATCCCTGTCCTGCCCCGCTACCATACTACAAAACTCCTGTCCTGCCCCCCTTCTACAAACCCGTTGTCTGCCCCTTATACAAGACCCCTGCCAAAGAACAAAACCCCTGCCCCTGTCTACAAAATCCCTGCACCTCCACACACACAGTTACATGCAGACAGTCACACCAGTATATAGTAACAGTAAAGTAGTCCAGGCACTCAAGATCTTTATACATCAGCAGATTTATTGGAAAAACAGGACAGACACAGCAACTTTTCGATCCCTTTAGTGATCTTTATTAAGCTTTGTCAGATCGAAACTGTGCTGTGTCTGTCCTGTTTTTCCAATAAATCTGCTGATGTATAAAGATCTTGAGTGCCTGGACTACTTTGCTGTTACTATATGGATTAGGGGTTTGCCAGCCCTAGGTACAGTGCACCGAGGTCTACAAGTGATGAGAGTGCGAATCCCTTCCTTTTTTTGCTATCAGTCACATGCACATAGTCACATGCAGACCGTCACACACACAGTCACAGACAGTCAGACACAGTTACAGGCAGTCACACACACACACAGAGTCACAAACAGACGGTTACAGGCAGTCACGCACTCAGTTACAGGCACACAGTCACATATACACAGTTACAGGCAGGCAGTCACACACAGACAGTCACATACACACAGTTATAGGCAGGCAGTCATACACAGAGTTATGGGCAGCATTACACAGTCACAGGAAGACATTCTCACACACACACACACTCACAGTTACTGGCAGACCATCACACACAGTCACATGCAGACAATCACATATACAGTCACAAGCAGACAGTCTCACACACACACACACACAGTCAGTCACAAACAGACAGTCACACACACAGTTACATAGTTACATAGCTGAAAAGAGACTTGTGTCCATCAAGTTCAGCCTTCCTTCCAGTTACAGACAGTCAGTCACATACAGTTACAGGCAGTAACATATACCCAGTTACAGGCAGTCAGCCACACACACTGTCACATGTAGCCAGTCACACACACACACACACACACAGTCACATGCAGACAGTCACACACACACACACACACACACTTTCTCTCTTACTTACAGAAAGTATGGGCTGGAGGAGAAATGAAGTGCAGAAGTGCACCTGGAGTCTGTAAGTTGGGGAAGCAGGAATTTCTTCTCACTTCCCTAGATGTGCAGCATTTACAGCAGCGGGGCGGGGCCGTGTTAAGCCCCGCTCCCGCACCTGAGTTGGCCGTGTGGCCGGTGTGGTTTTGAAGTAATGCGGCTGCCTGTCCCTGCGCGTGTGAGCTGTGACCGCTGCCATGGCGACCTGTGTTGCCGCACAGCTCACACATCCTAAAGATTGTTGAGCTGCCCGTATTCCTACAGACTCTCGTCCGCGAGTACCGATCAGTATGGTAGGGTAATAGGTTGGAACTCCGTTGCTCTGCAGGGTACATAAATCACGGGGACGCATACAGGCCCAATATAAAGTACCATTGGACATGTGTCAACCAGATTAATCAAATAAGGATTCAGTGATAATTATTCTCATCGGTAACACATATTATCTAAACCAAGCTGACTAGTACATATGCTAGATTTTCTACTTTGCTTTGTCTCCCCCTCTCCCATGAATGCCTCCCCCACATTCCCTAACATTTAGTAAGCCCCCGAGCCCTGTGCACATTTTCCCTTCCTCCTTTCCCTGCAGCACATGAATAATGCCTTCAGATTAGCAGCCGGAGCAAAGGAGAAATCAAAATTAACAATAAACATAAAACTTTAAGTAGTATCTGTCGTAAGTGCTGGAGTGTCTGTCCAGGCCCCATGTGAAAGTCCTGACAGCGTTGTTAGGCCACTGACTCTCGGGCCCTCCATGCCTCCCCTGTGACCACCCTTGCGTAGCCTGGGCTCCAACTGAGCCAGTCACAACAGTCCTGGTCGTGATGCCCTCAGGCCCTACTGTATCCCCCGGACCCAAACCTGTGAGTGCCCTGTGCTCAAAAGGGTGAAGGTGAGTATGGATGGTTCACTAAGGCCCCCTTGACCGAATGCAGTTTGTCAAGAGTACCTTTACTACCCCATTCCTAATTTACATGCCATGACCAGGAGAAGAAAATTATGGTAAGTATGGACACATTTTCCCTTTTCCTGGCCATATTCATGGCAGCACAACAATGGGTTTTACCCAAGCAATAACCAAGGGAGGGAAAGAATACACAGACTCCAGAATATGAAATGCAAAGTGTATTAGTACCACAAACCAAAGTGACAAACACCCAAATCAAGAATTAATAGTGTTCAAACAGACAGGACACTCTGAGCAAATTGGTCTGCATGGCCGGCTCTAACGTCCATTTGGTAGTGTCTGATGAATGTATTAGCTGACGACCAAGTGACAGCTTTACAAATAAGTTCTGTAGAGACCTTAGCAGAGGATGTCCAAGATGATGAAAGGTACCTCGTTGAATGGGCTTTGAGCCCTTCCGGGACCGGAATTTCCAAGGTCAGATATGCTAATGGTAGACTTGGGAGCCAAGGAGGAAAAGGCATCCCATATTCTATAGTATGTGTTAGAAGTGGAACGTTTTCGTGCTCTGAGCATGGTATCTATGACTGCTTGAGAGAAGCCTTTTTTCCTCAGTCTTTCCCTCTCAATCTCAACGCCATCATGTTAAGAGCGGACGACCTGAGTGGGGAACAGATCCTTGGGACAGCAAGTCTGGAACCCTCGGAAGTTGCCAAGGTGATTCTATACCAAGGCTCTGCAGGAGAGGAAATCAGGGTCTGTGATGCCAAAAGGGGGCTATGAGTATGAGAGAGACGCGTTCCATTCTCAGTCTCCTCAGGATGGGAAAGATTAAGGGAAAAGGGAGGAAACGCATACCGCTTGTGGAATCCCCAACTGCAGGATAGAGAGTCCCTCCCCCTGGCTTGGGGATCATTGTCCTTCATAAAGAAACCCTTCACTTTCCTGTTCTTCTGTGTCACCAACAGATCCACTTGAGGAAGGCATCTTTACTCCATTCCCCCAGATCTATCCTGGATCTTCTGAAGAAATCCGCTATCAGATTCTGTGTTCCCGAGAGATGGATCACCATTAAGCCTGCCAGGTGCCTCTGAGACATCAGTTGTCGCATGAACACCATCTTCCTGTGGCTTCTGGTGCCTCCCTGTTGGTTGATGTAAGCTACCACCGTGGAATTGTCTGTCCTTATCATTACCCATTGGTGATATATTTGTGAAGAGAAATATTTCAGAGCTTGGAGAACAGCCAAGAGTTCCAGAAGATTGGAAGGCATGCTGTCCGTTGGGAGCTTCCATTCCACCTGAGCGAAGCCGTGCTGACAGTGGGCTCGCCAACCCCATTGGCTGGCTTCCGTCATGATTACTATCCATGAATTTTCTCCCAGAGGGAAGCCCTTGCCGAGGGACTCCCTGTTCAGCCGCCAAAACAGGAGTAGGAAATTCGCTTGGAAGGACATGGAACGCAGCAGACTTTGAGCCGAAGTCACCTTGGTCCCTTATATCCCCAAAACCTGCTTCCTGATTCTCAGGATTCAAATATCAAATTTGGTCATTCAATATAATTTACCAAGCAATTATTAACCCAGAAATGGGATTATTGAATTTGACAGCAAAAAGCTGTAAATAAACGAGTTTTCATGCATAAAAACAAGGAAACTCCACTGAACAGTGTGGGCATGTCACTTAAACAGTGAGGACATATCTACCAAACAGTGAAAACATGTCTATGAAACAGTGAGGAAATGCCTACTTGATTTGTTCATCGAGTTTAGCTGATCAAAAGCTTGAATTTAACATTGTTAAATAAGCTTTTCCCATTTATTTTTGGATAAACTTTTAAAAATATAAGTCTTGGTCACATGGTGAAATAATTTGATGGTATTTTAAATATTTGCTAAAAAATTACAAACATTTTGAAAATGCATCATTCAGATATTCAATATCTACTCATCAGATATTGAAACTATAAATTGACTGGAAGGTTAAGGTAATTAATTATTGATCCCATCTGACATTGCACGGGTCTCATGCTTATTTTTTCCATTTATTGACCTCCTAATCACCCAACAGACTATGTTATACAGTGTCAGGAAGAATGTTGTAATGCACACAGTAGAAGCACCTTTAAACATGCTCTTACTAGGGTATTTAAGCCCAAACACAAGCGCTTTCACAGTGCTCAACTTATAGGCAGCATTTATTTCCAAGCACATGTCATCTTGGCGTTCATGTGCAGTAGAATGACAAATTTAAT